ACTCTGTTTTCTCCTCCACAGATGCTGCCAGACCTGCTGAGCTTTTCTAGAAAGCATGAATTCTACACAAAAACTAAAAGACCAAATTGCTTATGGCATATTTCAGAAAGATGAAACAAGTTAGCTGAGGTCAGGCAGATTAGCAAATTGGCACACATGACTGAAATACAACAGTGGCCTTGGGAATCTTGAAAATTCCTGTCAAAAACTGCCCCATCCTCACCAAGTGCCTTAAGTGCTCAATTCACAAGTATAACCTCTGCTCTTCACAGCCTACCTCACTGAGCCAGTTCTGCTTGTGAACTTTTAAACTCCCACTCTCAGCAACCCTGGTACTAATGCTTAGACAGTTTCCACTGATATAGAGCCACGGTTAGACCTACTTTCTCACCTCCCTGGAGCTTCTTGTGAGTCTTCCCTTCAACGTACTGATTTGAGCGTGTTATAGATTTAGCACCTTGATTAAATCACTCTTCTGCCTTTTATAAACTCTGAAGAATAGAAGCCAAATTGCTTTGACATGGATGAAGTACCGAAGGACTGGAGAGTGGCTAATGTTGTGTCTATTTAAGAAAGGCTGTAAGGAGAAGCCTGGGAACAATAGACCTGTGAGTCTGACTTTGGCAGTGGGTAAGTCATTGAAGGTGATTCTGAAACATAGGGTTTACGTGCATTTGGAGAGGCAAGGACTGATTAGGGATAATCAGCATGATTTTGTGCGAGGAAAATAGTGTCTCTCGAACTTGATTTTTGAGGAAGTATCGAAAAGTTTGATGTGGGCCAAGCAGTTGACGTTGTTTACTAGGACTCCCGTAAAACCTTTGACAAAGTTCCCCATGGTAGACTAATTAGATCACTTGGGATTCAGGGTGACCTTGCCAACTGGATACAACTTGGCTTTACAGTAGGAGGTAGAGAGTGATGGTGAAGGGTTGTTTTTCAGACTGGAGGCCTGTGACCAGCGGTGTTCCACAGGGATCAGTACTGGGTCCACTTTTGTTTGTCAATTATATAAATTATTTAGATGAGAATATAGAAAGCATGGTTAGTAAGTTTGCAAATGACACCAAAGTTGGTGGTATAGTAGACAGTGAGGAAGGTTATCTTAAATTACAAAGAGATCTTGATCAATTGGGTCAATGAGCTGAGGAGTGGCAGATGGAGTTTAATTTGGATAAACACGAGGTATTGCATTTTGGTAAAACTAACAAGGGCAGGACTTATACAATTAATGGTAGGGCCTTGGGTGGTGTTGTAGAACAAAGAGATGTAGGGATTCACGTAGATAATTCTTTGAAATTTGCGTCACAAGTAGACAAGGTGGTTAAGAAGGCATTTAGCATGCTTGTCTTCATTGCTCAGACCTTAGAGTATAGAAGTTGGGATGTTATGATGAGGTTGTACAGGAGGATATTATTAAACTGGAGAGGGATCAGAAAAGATTTATCAGGATGTTGCTGGGAGTGGAGTGTTTGAGCTATTAAAATAGGCTGGATAGGCTGGGACATTTCACTGGAGCCTAGGAGGTTGAGGGGTGACCTTATAGAGGTTTATAAAATCATGAGGGGTATAGGTAAGGTAAAGGGTCCGTTTCCATCCTGTCTGACTGTATGTCTTAGCTGCCTAATATTTTAAGAACCTGTTCCAATGATGCAGACCCATCCAGTTGCTCTTAGCTCCTCATGGAGTCTTCTAAACACAATCTGTGTAGTTCAGCAAGCTTGCCAGCAGTACGGCAAGCTGCAGTATTCTTAACATAACCATTTTGGTCTCTCTCGCATCCTCACTCATTGCCTGTAACCTTTGAACTCCTCTTTAGTGACCCCTGAACTGTCTTGAATGACCAATTGAAAACATGGTAGCTATGTCCCTCCCATATTGCTGGGATGAAATGATTATTGCCGCCTAATAACTCTCAAAACTGTCTGTTAAATATTAAATATTAACAAGCTTGCAAAGTTCAAAACTCAGTGTCCAGCATTAGATAAGATCGTGTGATTGAGTCATTGAGTCATAGAGTCATACAGCATGGAAACAGGCCCTTCAGCCTACTCGTCCATGCCAACCAGGTTTCCTGAACTGATCTAGTCCCATTTGCCTGCGTTTGGCCCATATCCCTCTCAACCCTTCCTATCCATGTACCTATCCGAATGTCTTCTAAATGTTGTAATTGTACTTGCCTCTACCACTTCCTCTGACAGCTCATTCCATGTATGCGCCACCCTCAGTGTGAAAAAGTTGCCTTTCAGGTTTAAGGTGAGGGGGGCATATGCCATCCATTTTTAAACTCCCCTACATTTACAAAAAGACTTTGCCTATTCACCTTATCTATGCCCCTCATGATTTTGTAAATCTCTATAAGGCCACCCCTCAGTCTCCTGTGCTTCAGGGAAAAAATTGTCTGCCTATCCAGCCTCTCCTTATAACTCAACAACTACCCCACCCCAAACTCCGTCTCAGTAATATCCTTGTAAATCCTTTTGCATCCTTTCCAGTTTAATAACATCCTTCCTACAGCAGGACATCTAAAATTGTATGCAGTACTCCAAAAGTGGCCTTACCATATGTCTTGTACAGCAGCAACATGACATGCCAACTCCTATACTCAATGCTCCCACCGTCAACCCAATTTTTTAGATTGGATAACATTTGCTAAATGGTCCTGAGTATGCAGAAATTTCACAGAACCAGTTTGATCCTGTCAGTTAGGCTTACAGTGTAGTGAACTTGTTCTTGCTGGAAGTTGTACATGTTTAGACACTGGGCGCTGCTCTTTGCACACATGGTGTTTGTTTGAACTCTCAAATAAATCTGGTTCATTCGTCAGGGTAAATGCCTTGACCAGTCAACCTGCCTGATTTAATTTAAGTAACATTTGGTTGTTAACTATCAGTCATCATCTGGTGCATTCTCCATGGCAGCATCATAATTTGTTAGATTTCACTTGCAACCACTTTCTTCACTTGCAGCATTTTCATCTCTGATAGTATCAGATATTGTTCTCCTTTACATTAGGATGTATTTTTGTGAAAGTCCTAATGAGTGAAACAGAAAACTTTTGTTTTTTTTTCCAGCAATGCACAAGTTCTGTGCTACCAAGAGACTATTTACAAAGAGATTTGTCAAAAGTTATTTGAAACACATGAGAAGACGGTTCTCAATTTGTAAATGGTCAAAATTATCGGAGATTTATTAAATATCTTAAGTTGGTCTTTACAAAAGACCAGGATGATAGAGAAGCTGAGAATTCTGAATTGTTTAAGATAAATGATTATGATCAATAAAAGAACATTTTAAATACTTTAGTCGTCTCAGAGGAATACAAAGGATGGCAGCTTAAAATTTTGAGGTAATTAAAGGAGAAATTTGCCTAGAACCTAGAAATAACATTAAGACTCGTCTAAATTTGAATTTTTGCTGAAGGATTGGAAAGTGTCCAGTTGTACTGATTTTTAAAAGGAGAACAGAGTTAATCCAGGTAAATATAAATACTTCAATTTTAAATTTGAGTATTTAATTAAAGTTGAAATTACCTCTAGATACATCTAGCTAAAGAGAATACAATTGAAAGTAGCCACTTTCAACAGATATATACAAACATAAGATCCATGAACAGGAGAGGTCATTCAGCCTCATGGCTGATTTGACTATAATCTCAAAACAATATTCGTGCCTACTAATAACCACCTTTCACATCCTGCTTAACAAGAATCTACCTACCTCTGCCTTAAAAATATTCAAGCTCTCTTCTTTCATCGTCTTTTCCAGAAGAGAGTTCCAAAGACTCATGACATTGATGGGGAATGGGCTGAAGTGGCAAATTGAATTTAATGTCAGTAATATGATATGTATTTTAGTGAAATGATACAATTCAATGCAGATGCAGAATAGAATTGGCTGGGAGCTGTGGAAGAGAAAAGAAGTTGTGGAATGCAGTTTCACAGAACATTGTCAATTTAAGATGCTAAGATTTAATGGTCTATCAGAATAGCTCCAGAGTTGGTTGAGAAAAGTTGATTCGCATTAGACTATTAGGAGCTGGATTCTTTTCCAGAGGGGAATTAGTTAAGAAGGGAAAGGTGAAAAATGTGTTATTTGTGCTAAACTATAGCTTTACAATAAAACCCTTTCAAAATCGATGAAATTCCTTTGCTGCCTAATTGAGCATAAGGTTATTGGTCTGTTAAGCATACTGTGTGTGATATTGCTACAATCTTGTCTTGTAAGAAGCAACATAAATACAAAAACTGACATTTTTCAATAGAACAATGAGGATTATTTGTTGGAGGAGGTGAAAAGAAGCAGTTTGACAGGAGTCAAGGGGTCAAGAGTAAGCTTTTAATGATAAAATCAATCATGATTAATCATAAATTTTAGAAAGGGTTCAGAAAACTGATTCTACAGTTATGATTTGATGGCCCTCTATTTTTAACACAAGCATTTCATTCTGCAACTGTACAACAATTCTTATCCTGATAACTGTGTCCTCTTTGCTCTTCCACCTTTTGCCCACCCCACTCCTCCCTACCCCTGTGTCTCAATGATAATCTTTCGAAGCAAATGCCGGATGTGAATTCCACCTGGAGCAATGAGGGCCCTCATCAGCTCAGCTCCATCGACATCTCAGTGGCTGTAGCCACGGATCGTGGTCTGGTTACACCAATCGTCCGAGATGCTGCCACCAAGGGAATAGAAGAAATTTCCACGGTGGTCAAGGTAGGACAAGAGGGTCTCAATGCTGAGAGAAAGTGTGACCAAAATCAGTTTATTTAAGCCTTGAACAGCCATAAATCTTAACATGTTGGTTTAAATAGCCTATCTTCCAAAAGACCATCATAAATGGGAATAGGAGTAAGTCATTCAAATTGGGGTAGCCTCGAGCCTGTTCCACCAGTCAGTAGAGTGATGGCTAATGTGACTGTGGCCTTAATTCAACTTTCTTGCCTGCTTCCCATAATCCTTGACTCCTATCAAAAACTTACCTAATTCAACCTGAAATATTTTCAATGGCACATTTCTATGACCCTGTAACCTCCGCTGCTCATTAGAGAATGGAATTCAAATCATAAGTGACTGTCTGAATATAGAAATTCCTCCTTATCTCTACCTTGAATGGGAGATCTTTATTTTTCAAATATGTATTCTAGTCCTATATTCCACCGAGAGTCGAAACATCTATCCTGTCAAGCCCCTTCAGAAACATATGTATTTCGATCAGGTCACCTCTCATTCTTCCAAACTCTTCAGCTTTTTCTTGTAGGACAAACCTATCAATCAAGGAATCAGCCTAATGAGCCTTAATTGAATTGTCCATTCCAATTCCAATTCAAATATGACCCTCTAAATAAGATAACTAAAACTGTTTTTATGTAGTTTCACAATTGTTCTGTACAGTTGCAGCAAGACTTCTCCGCTTTTATATTTTATTCCCCTTGCAATAAAAGCCAACGTTCCATTTGCCTTTCTAATCATTTGCTGTATCTGGATGCTGACTTTGTTTGATTCATGTATAAAGCTACCCAGATCCCTCGATTTTAAGCCTTCTGTAATGTTTCCCATTTCAATAATTTTCGGCTTTTCTATTTCTGAAAAGTGGACAACCTCACATTTCCCACATTGTACGCCAAATGCAAAGTTTTTGCCCACTTACTTAATCTATTGATGTCCCTTTGAATCCTCCTCACAACTTTCTCACCTACCCATCTTTGTATGGTCAGCAAATTTGGCTATAATATAGTCTGTTCTTTGATCCAAGCCATTAAAGTAAATCATATAAAGTTGGGGCCTGAGTGCTAATATCTGTGGCTGTTCACCAGTTACAGCTTTACATCCAAAAAATAAACTGCTTATTCCAATGACTGTTTCATTTTGGGTAACTAATCCTCTATTTATGCTAGTATACCTTCCTTCCCCACTCCTGGGCCCAACCAAATATCATAAATTTCTATAGTGTATGGATACTTCATCTGTCAACTCACCAAATACCTTTTGGAAATTCAAATGCACCACATCTACTGGTTATGCTTCACGCACCCTGCTTGTCACACCCTCAAAGAACAAAGCATATAGCAGGGTGATAGATAGGCAGGGCAGATATTCATACCTATAACCCTCAGCTATCCAAGGGCAATGGCATTCATGCCAAGTAGCAATGCAGCTCAGGTCCGGGATTATCCATGGTCTGGCACCAGAACGAAAGTAGAAGACCGCTCTGTTTCATTTTAGGTTTCAGTTTCTGATTTTCACTATTTTGCGTTTCCATCAGTCTGCACCAATGCTAAATCTGTAGTGCAAATGAACTTTATGCCATTTGTATTTAGTTAGGCTAGCATCAAGTGGTGTTGAGTGGAGAAATATTATACATCCACCTCCAAAGTAACCAGTGTCAGTTTAAAATTGGCAATGCCCTTGGTAGTCCATCTTCAGCGAACCACTCGATGGGAAAATTACTACAGAATGACAAGTACCAAAAACAAAAGTGTGAAGTTAGTTCGGAAGAACTTGTGACATGAAAATATCCAGGCTTGGGTCGACAAGTAGCAAATAACATTTGCGCCACTCTATTCACATACAGTGACAATCTCCAATATGAGACAGTCTGTGCACCACCCCTTAACATTCAATGGTATTACCATTACTGAATTCCCCACTACGAACGTTGTAGGAGGTGCCATTAACCAGAAACAGAACTGGACTTGCCACATAAATACAGTGGCCACAAAAGCAGATCAAAGGCTAGAAATACCACAGCAAGTAACTCACCTCCCGACTCCTCAGACACCTGTCCACCATCTACACCACACAAGACAAGGGTGTGAATGAATACTCCCCACTAGCCTGGATGAGTACAGCTCCAACAACACTTGAAGCTTGACACATCCAGGGCAAAGCAGCCTGCTTAATTGACACCACATCCACAAGCATCCACTACAAGTAACAATAACGCTCAGTAGCAGCAGAGTGTACTATCTACAAGAAGCACTGTAGAAATTCACTAAGACAGCACCTTCCAAACCCACAACCACTTCCGCCTAGAAGAACAAGGGCAGCCATAGATGGAACACCACAACCTGCAATTTCCCTTCCAAGCCACTCACCATCCCAACTTGGAAATATATCACTGTTCCTTCACTGTCACTGGGTCAAAATGTTGGAATTCCTTCCCTAATGTCATTGTGAGTCTACCTACACTGACACGGACTCTAACGATTCAAGAAGGCAGCTCACCACCAGCTTCTCAAGGGCAACTACAGAGGGGAAATGCTGGCCAGCCAGTGATGCCCATGGTCCATGAGAATAAAAAAGAATATCTTTTGTATGTGATGCAAAAGAACACTACCAAATAATTTGGTATGTGGTATTTTAAGTGTATTTTTTGTTTGAGATTTATTTTTGGAAAGCTGACATTTAAACCCATTCGTTGGAATGATATTAATCCTGAAAGGTGGAGCAGTACCCTGTTTCAGGTACCTAAGATAGGCATGAATAATCCTGAGTCTGAAGGAGTATAAGACTGAACGGCAACATTCCTTACTGTGCTGTGGTGACAGTTTTCACTTCCCACAACAACCATCCTGTGGGGACAAACTGAAATTACCACTGGTGTGCCACACAGAGCAAATTAGCACTGGCAATTCTCCAATCATTGGGCACAACTCTCAGATCGAAGATTGTTTGCAAGATTGTCGTCAGACCCTCTACTATTTCCTTCCTGACCGCCTCCAGCATTCTAGGATGCGAGCCCTCAACTTCTGGTGTCCTTTGCACTTAGAGTCATACCGATGTACAGCATGGAAACAAAACGTTTAGTTCAACTCGTCCATGCTGACCAGATATCTTAAATTAATCTAGTCCCATTTGCCAGCATTTGGCCCATATCCCTCCAAACCCTTCCTATTCATGTACCCATCAAGATGCCTTTTAAACGTTGTAATCATACCAGCCTCCCCCACTTCCTCTGGCAGCTCATTCCATACACACACCACCATCTGTGTAAAAATGTTGCCCCTTAGGTCCCTTTTAAATCTTACCCCTCTCACCTTAAACCTATGCCCTCTAGTTTTGGACTCCCCTACCCTGGGGAAAAACCTTGACTATTCACCCTATCCATGCCTGTCATGATCTTATAAACCTCTATAAGGTCACCCCTCGGCCTCTGACGCTCCAAGGGAAATAGCCCCAGCCTATTCAGCCTCTCGCTATAGTTCAAACTCTCCAGCTCCAGCAACATCCTTGTAAATCTTTCCAACCCTTTCAAGTTTAACAACATCTTTCCTGTAGCAGGGATACCAGAATTGAATGCAGTATTCCAAAAGTGGCCTAACCAGTGTCCTGAACCAGCTGCAAAATGACCTCCCAACTCCGATATTCGATGCGCAGACCATAAAGGCAAGCATACCAAATGCTGCCTTCACTATCCTGTCTACCTGTGACTCTGCTTTCAAGGAACTATGAACCTGCACCCTATGGTCTCTTTGTTCTGCAACACTCCCCAGGACCTTAGCATTAAGTGTATGAATGCTGCCCTGATTTGCCCTACCAAAATGTAGCACTTCACACTTACCTAGATTAAACTCCATCTGCCACTCCTTGGACAATTTGCCCGTCTGATCAAGGTCATGTTGTCCTCTGGGGTAACTTCCTTTGCTGTCCACTGCACCATTAATTTTGGTGTCATCTGCACTTACTAACTACACCTCCTCTGTTCGCATCCAAATCATTTATATAAATGACAAAAAGCAGTGGACCCAGCATTGATCCTTGCGGTACACCGCTGGTCACAGGCCTCCAGTCCAACTTCTCACTAACTCCACTTCATTCAGTACCATTTCCTTTTAGCTCAACTCCTATTTGCGTTGCTCTGTGACATCCAAGGCATACTGTTCATTTAAAACCTCCACGTTCCTATATTCTCCATTTGATTTGTTTTCCCTCTCTAATCTGTCTTATTCTTTTGTTACTGTGTTGTGTGTATATAAAAATTCTTGATCAATTTTTGTTTTTAATCTCATCAGGCTTTCTAAACTCTTTTGCATCGTTGTATGTGATGTATTCATTTATATTATTTAACTTGATTTCCTGAAACCTCTAAGTATCAGTGTAATTTTGAATTCACTAATTCCTAATCACGTGCCTTCTGATGTTTGTATCTTCTTTCTTACCAGTTTTTCAATTTGATTTATTTGGACTATTTCCCTTTTAAGCTCTTATGTCTGGTTTCCTAGTCAAACACCTTTTATAATTGACTGTTCCCTTGCCAAATACCTCTATCATTTTCGATTCCCTAGCCAAGTGCCTTTATTGCTAACTTCCTCTCCTTTTTATCTTCAGTATCAAACATGAAAATGTTGTGTTTACCATTTACAAAATGTTTCTTTACCCGTGTATTACACACCCTTACCTGGAGCTTTCTCTGTTTCCTGGCATCTATCCTCCTTCTGTTGTTTTTGTATTATCTGACTGTTCTTTCCACCCAAGTTATGCTTCCTCCTCATTTTGCCCCATTGTATTAAAATAAACCTTCCATTGTACCCATGACTCTACCAGCAAGCACATTGGTCCATCCCTCCATAGAATTGGCATGAGTAAGAAATCGGAAATGATACCTCATTCATTACAATGCTATTTGTGCATCTAACCTCCTGGTCTTCCAAGTCCTGTATTGACCAGCACAAATGTGTATTCTGAGATTACCAACCTGGAGTTCCTGCTCTTCG